GATAGGTCGAAAAAACGTCTCCAGGTTGTGGACGGCGATGGCAGTTCTGTGCTTACTGGGGTGGTTGAGGTAACGCTTCCTGGAGCCAGTGACAGTCAACGCCTGCATCTTTTTGACCTCACTGTGGAACCAAAACTGCGAGAAACTCGGGAACATCTTTGGAAGGCTGTGGTAGTGAACGCTAGCGTCGAACTGCTGCCTGACAAAATGCCCTTCATGGCAACTGCTGAGGCAGGACAGGAATCTACACCTGCCTGGACGCTGCATCCCTCGAGGGGCCAAAGAATCTTCCTCAGTCGTCCCATGTTCTTCGCAAATCCAGTCTGCGGGCCGGATGCCGTTTGCGTACCGCAGCTGGATATTGAAGTCTACGACTCGTCGATAGCCCACGAGAATCCTTCTACAATATACTATCGGGAGCGTGTGGCCGAACGCAATCTTACGGTCGCGGTCAGAAATCTAGGTGAAAATGCCTACGACGCAAAGCTTCGTCTCAAAGTGCCTCGGCAATTTGGTTACGTTGCAGGCAACAGTTTGGGGTGCAAAGTTGAGGGTGACGGAACCGAGGAGGACCCCAATTCAACGGTTAGTCATGTGTTGAAGTTCTATTCTAAGGTGGTAGATTATTTATATTTGTTCCTTCCAACAGACGTTCGATTTACACTCCGTCCGGTCGTCGAGAGACCATGCCGACGTCACAGTGACTGGAATGGTCATATCCACAAAATCATTTGCTTTGGGCAATAAGCAATCCTCACTTAGGAGCGTGCTTATTCGAGTCAAGCTTGTGGACAGACTTACGGTCTCCACGCTGTTTCCAATTATATTTAAACCCCCCGACTTCACACTTTTGACTGTTCAACTACACGAATTCGAGTATATTTTTCCGTGAAACCTAATACATACAATTCGTAGGTCCAGCAGATGGTATCCTTCGTAGATCGTCTCGTGATTGGTAATTCGTATTTATTATTTTGACTATTAATTTTTTAAGAATAATAATAATAAACAGAGATGGGTTCGTAAAAATAAATCACACTACCCGTATCACATAATACTGTATATATCGTTATCATATATTTAAGTTGATAAGAGAAAACTGGCAGTTACTGAAGATGTGGCAATTGTATATTTGTATCATAATACTGCACAGTTATAGATTTGCCTTGAAATCAGAAACATGTACAATAAAATATCAAACTGTATACAGCTTCCTTACGAGACTATTTGGGTTTCACAGGAGAGTAGCTCACTTCATGCGTTAAACTTTTAAGAATACGACACGCAAAACACTGCAGAGTAGTTTACTAGTGTTGATGCAGTACAGTACAGTACATATTAACATAAAAATGAAGCCACAAGTACTGCAATATAAAACTATAAGTAAACCAATTGCTAGGATCGCATCCATTCTTTCGGTAAAAGATGTACTCAAGGAAGTTCAGCGTCTGAGAGTGGACGTGGGCAGGTACAAAGTGGTGGACAGTAGACCTGAATGTACTAAACAACACATAACTTTTACCCATGCAATTTTAAATGGTAATATAAATGAGAACATCAATTTTTAAATGACCTTGAGGTAGTTAGTCCGCCTACTTAAAGTTTAAACCATCAAGATGTGTATTTATAACCATTTGTTTCTTATCAGTGCAAAATTCTTGGGGAAGAGTTCGTGGATTATTACCTTCGAGCATTTCGGCGTGTTAACGTAGGTTTTTCTCAACAACTGCGTGAGAGCGGCCACAACCCTTAGTGTGTTCCCCTTGTCCGCGATTTGTGATTATTCTTCGCACCCAAAAGTCCTCGGCCAACGTTGGAAGTAGACCAAGTTACTTAAAGAAATAAAATGCGAAAAGGCGGCTGCACGTAATTCATCCTGAAATGAACTTCAGTCAGGACATCCTTTCGCACGCGCATTGGCTGGCGGGTTACCTTCTGCGTGTCCAAATAATATGTTGCAGACTTTGTTATTTCTTCGGACGGGACTCTGTTATGGCCTGTGCACGTCTAGGGTCCTAACATCAGAGTGACAGACAGGCCGCAATCTCGTGGTAATGCCAATGGCGTGGTCGTCCTTTATGCACCCATCGTTAATTACTCTGTACCCACTATCTCTACGGAGCATTTTGCGCGCCCAGCCCTTGTGCTTAATGCCTACCTTTACGCCCACCCGTTTCTGCCTTCAGCGTTACCACGCCGACAACTGCTTTGTAATCACCACTGTCCTGACAATATTCTTAAAAAGGGAAAGTTATTAAAGCCTAGCAAGGTGTGTCGTTGTGACGCGTCTTGGAGTGCCGGTCGCGCCAGCCACCTGCGCCCTCCCCTCTCTGGTCTTCTCGACTTTTGTCTTGACACCGGGTACAGGTGTGGGAGTGGTAAGAGAGTAGCTTCTGCTACTGTTTTTTGCTGACATCTCTAATGATGAATCGGCGATGAATGTTGGTTGGTTGGTTAGTAGGCCTTGTTAGATCAGGAGTCCCCGCCGGAGTCCAAACTGGGCGCAGTTGGGAGACTGAGAAAAGCCGTGACCTCAGCCGGCTTGAGTCAAACGTCCACGGGGGTGAACAGAAGTCTTGTCCCAGCGATCGCAGTTTCTTCTTCTCAGAGTGCGGTAGATACTTCGTGAGTCTACTTTCATTATAATCCCGCGTTAAGTCGCCGCGTCTACCTTCAGCTTGCTGAAGCTCGTGGTGGAGATCGTCTAAAACGACGTTAGAACTGTCACGGGTATTGCTACTTACTTGAGTTTTGAGAACTTATATCTAAGTTCGTTAGTGATTCCAAACTTTGATGAAAGTGTAAACGCACTCTTACCTGAATCGATATCTACCTTTCTTACATCCAAGGTGTGTGTTCAAGCTTTCTCGAATTGAATTAACCGCGTATTCGTTAAGCTCTTAAATATGACATCTAAGCAACCTTCTCAACTACAATGGAACAAAAAAAACACTTTTTCATTCCAGTCCTCGCTGTTTTTCACACTATCCTCATTTGAGGACTCTGTTCTCTTTGTGTGGTGAATAAGAGCCACTCCTTACGATATGCGTGACACATTGTTCTACCCCCCTCCCCCCTCCCACCTTTCAGGTCACTACGGTCCTCTGCAATCTACCCAATCCTTTTACCTTTGCTAATTCGCAATGGGACAAGTTTGTCTTCCAGCTGAGTACCTCGGGAGTCTTTCACCCCCTGGTGGAGACTAAATCTAGGCCGGCCGTCGGTTCGCTAGCTTCTGGAAGCTCAACGCG